GGAAGGATCGCCGGAGCCCAGCAGGTCGAGGCTGCGGTGGCTGGGAGCAGCTACTGCACTCCATCCAGTCTGGGCGACCGAGTGAGACTCCAACTCAAAAAAAAAAAAAAAAAAAAAAATTAATTAGCCACGTTCTGCCCGAGCAAACAGCCTCTGAGAATTTAAGATGTGCAGATGTGAAACTTAATTTTTTCGGGGGTTTTGTGGTGGTGCTAGATTGCCCTGAGTCTGGATTTCAAAGGCCTTGACTTGTAGGTCCCATGAAGGGGTAGACATTAACATTAGTAAACAGGTGCATGTTACTTAAACAAGGTAATATTTGTTCATTAATATTAGACATGCCACATACTCAAGATTATTTTGTGTCTGGTAATATTTTCTCTATTATATACTAACGTGTGTTTATATTTAGTGTGTATTTTCTTTCTTCAACTAGACTTTTTTTTTGAGTTGGAATCTCACTCTGTCACCCAAACTGGAGTGCAGTGGCTGCTTCCGGCCACCGCAGCCTCAACCTACTGGGCTCCGGTGATCCTTGTGCATCAGCCTTCCATGTAGCTGGAACTACAGGCACGCGCTACCACGCCCAGCTAATTTTTTTTTTTTGAGTTGGAGTCTCACTGCGTCACCCAGACTGGAGTACAGTGGCCGCTCCCGGCCACCGCAGCCTCGACCTCCTGGGCTCTGGCGATCCTTCCACCTCAGCCTTCCGAGTAGCCGGAATTACAGACATGCGCTACCACGCCCGGCTGATTTTTTGATTTATTGTAGAGATGAGGTCTCGCTGCCCAGGCAGGTCTCAAACCCGTGGGTTCAGGCAATCCACTCACCTCAGCCTCCCAAAGGTGCGGGATTACAGGCTGAGCCACCTAGCCCGGCTTAATTTTTTGATTTCTTGTAAAGAGATGAGGTCTCCCCACGTTGCCCAGGCGGGTCTCGAACCCGCGTGCTCAGGCAATCCACTAGACTTTTGAAGACAAGCACTTGTGCCTTTGTTTTGACTGTAGCACTTTGCACTGAGTGGGAACTCCTCTCTTGTGCATCTTACATATGCACATACAGTATTTTCATAGTCCCTCTTTTCTCAGCATATTGACTTGGTCAAGTTCCTTATTTTATTTTATTTATTTATTTTTTGAGTTGGAGTATTACTCTGTCACCCAGACTGGAGTGCAGTGGCCACTCCCGGCCACCACAACCTCGACCTGCTGGGCTCCGGCAATCCTTCTGCCTCAGCCTTCCAAGTAGCTGGAACTACAGGCGCGCTGCCATTCCCGGCTGATGTTTGATTTATTGTAGAGATGAGGTCTTGCCAAGTTGCCCAGGCGGGTCTCGAACCCGCGGGCTCAGGCAATCCACTCACCTTAGCCTCCCAAAGCGCGGGATTACATGCTGAACCACTGAGTCCGGCTTGTTGTTCCTTTCTATGTATGATACTGTTCCCCTTATTCACAGATGCCTCTTTTCTTTGAGTTTATGTCTCCTCCACCAACTTTGTTAGTTAAAATTAACTGAAGATGGCTTATTAGTTTCCCGCGGGCTCAGGCAATCAACTCACCTCAGCTTCCCAAGGCGCAGGATTACAGGCTGAGCCACCGAGCCCGGCTGAAGTTCCTTATGTTAAAACAACATAAAATCTTCCACCCTCCTGTCTCCCTTCTATCCATTATGCTGTGGTTCAGGAAACTGGAAGGGGCTTAACTGCTTGGTTCTGATTGCAGTCATCTGAAGGCTTGATTGGGGCTGGAGTTATTTACCCTTTTGACTTTCTGCTTGCACATAGCTCTCTGTTCCTCTCCACGTGCAGTGTGAGTGTCCTTATGTGTGGCATCTGGGTTCCTCTGGAGAGTGAGCGAGGAGGAAGCCACAATCCTCTTCTGTCCTAACCTGAGACATCATGTGCTGTCAGTTTTACCCCATTGTTTGCTGGAAGTGTGGCAGTTCAGAAGCTGCTTCCTACTCAAAGGGAATTAGGTTCCACCGTGGGAAGAGAGGAGGCTCCAGTAATTTGTGGCTACGTTTGAAAACCATCTACCATCTACAGCGATCTTCAAGGGTGTAAGGCAACGAGCTGTAATTGAGTAGAGACTATATTGATTCTTGGGTTCCACAAGGCCAGAGGAACAAGAGAAAAAAAGCATGTTGATACAGAAGATGGAATTGTTTCTAACTTGGTGCCCACCTTACCCATCTGGTAAACCTACAGTTTTCTTCAAGATGGAATTTAAGTAGTTTCTTGCCATTAAAGCTTTTCTGATTTTTTTCTTATGCAGACTTGGTGACAGACGTTACATTTGTTCATGATCCATCTATCCAACCATGAAATACTGATTGACTATCTACTATGTTTTGGCATGTGTTAGTAGTGAACAAAAAATGTGGTTACTGCTTTCCTAAACCTTATGTGTATTTTGGATTGCATGATTAAGTTTTATTGATTTGTTTACATCTGTCTTCCATACTTTACTGAACTCCTTGGGATAGGATCTGTATCTTATCCATCTTTGTGTTCACAGTACCTGCCTTAAGTGATCACTGATATATTCTTAGCAAATAAGGAATACATGTTTATTATCTAGAAATATTAGGCAAAATCCTGGTCTAATTATCTTAGTAATAAAATACCACATACAGTTTGGTGCTTGTCAGCTACTAGTTAATAGTTTATGTTTTTTAAAATTCATACATGCTATGTCTGTTGGGTGCTTCCCATAGGCCAGGCGATTTGCTGGGCCTTAGGAGTGGACAGACATCGGAAATAAAGTAGTTATTAAGAGAGTTAAGTGGTTTAAGGGTAGTTCAATGACTAGGGCTTGAAAATTCAGCAAGTATAAACTTGAAATTTGCTTAAGTGAATAGATCTCTGATGCTCTCACCACAAAAAAATGTTATCTTGAGTTGATGGATATGTTAATTAGCTCGATAGTAGTAGTCATCTCACAATGTATATGTATGATGGGGACTCCCAAAAAACTGGAATTATGTTTTTGGAGGGCAGGCCCCTTGTAGTACAGGCTTCCCCCACTAGGTAAGTGTCCTAGGAACCTATCAGCATCAGTGTACCATCTTGTGTTGTTGTGAGGGGCTATGGTTGGCACCAGTGAATTTTTTGGGGGGGGATTCCTACAGCGCATTTGCCCATTTCTTTCTTTCTTTTTTTTTTTTGAGTTGGAGTCTCACTCCGTTGCCCAGACTGGAGCGCAGCGGCTGCTCCGGGCCACCGCAGCCTCGACCCGCTGGGCTCCAGCGATCCTTCCGTGTCAGCCTTCCGAGTAGCCGGAACTACAGGCACGCACTACCACGCCCGGCGAATTTTTGATTTATTGTAGAGACGAGGTCTCGCCAAGTTGCCCGCGCGGGTCCCGAACCCGCGGGCTCAGGCCATCCACTCACCTCAGCCTCCTGAAGGCGCGGGATGACAGGCTGAGCCACCGAGCCCGGCGCATTTGCCCATTTCGAGATGGATGATTTCCACGAACAACTACCCACACCGTGCTGAGTGTTCAGCCACTTTTGACTGAGAATGGCACGACCCCCGCAACCCGCCTGCCCTATTCATCCCGTCTCACCCCGAGCCACGATTTTTGTTTCCTTGGATGAAAAAAGTCCTCAAAGGGAAACATTTTGTCTGTGTGAAAGAAGCGAAACAAAAAAATAAGCATTAAAAGGTGTCAAAATTGATGAGTTCAAAAACTGTTTTGAGCAGTGGAAAAAGTATCTCAGGTGTGTTGCATTAAGCAGAGTCCTTTGAAATTGACTGAGGCTTAAATATGTAAGAATAAATACACAATTTTATATGAATTCTGTTTTTTTGGGAGGGGTACCCCCATGCATATCAAAACTTTACATTGTATACCATATACATATGTATACACACATACACGTACACACACAATTTTTATTTGTCAGGTACACTTTAGTAAAGCAGGAGCAAAAGATGACAGAAGACAGGATAAAGAATTGGAAAAAAAGTTATACATGAAAAAAGCCCAAGTTTCTTTTTTGGGAATATTTATGTGTGGTAATGTAACTTTTAAAAACTTTATGTAACTTAGGGAGGGAATTAAAAGTAATTTTTGTGGCTGGACATGGTGGCTCATGCCTGTAATTGCAGCACTTTGGGAGGCTGAGACTGGTAGATTGCTCGAGCCCAGGAGTTTGATACTAGCCTGGGCAACATAGCAAGGCCTCATCTCTACTACAAAAAAAAATAATGATAATAGCCCGGTGTGGTGGCATGCAGCTGTATCCCCAACTACTCAAGAGGCTTAGGCGGAAGCATTATCTGAACTCAGGAGGTCAAGGGTATGGTGAGCTGTGATATGCCGCTGCACTGTAACCTGGGCCAGAGTGAGTCCCCGACTCAAAAAAAAAAAAAAAAAGTGATTTTTGTAAGTAGTTACACATCATCATTTTGTACTATCTAGATTTTTATTTTTTAGAGAGATAGACAGGGTCTCACTTTGTTACCTATACTAGATAATAGTGTCATGGTGTGATAATATGTACTTTACAGTACATGTTTTGACAATCATTCCAGTATTTCTTGCTGGTGTTTTTTTTCTCTCCGGTCCAGTGGTCTAGTGCACGGTCCCGTACCACATGTGGTTTACCACAGCCTTGAGCTTCTGGGCTCAAGTGAACCTCCTGGCGTAGCCTCCCAGGTTGCTGGGATTGCCAGTGTGTGCCACTACACTCAGCTTAGATTTTTTACAGTATATACAATATGCCCCTTGTGAGACTCTCAAGTGGTAAATCCCCATTAAGGCGTTCTGTATTTAAAGAAAGAATATTTTAGTTACTAGCAGAGCCTTCGATTTTCAAGTAAGTTAAATAAGATAGTTTTGTCCTCTTCATTTTTACAGAGTGAATAATATTTGCTTTATTGTACATAGTGACAGTATTTTTAAGTGTAGGATGTTTGCCTTCTAGTCATTTGTATTTGTAGAAAATTAAAATTGTTTCTTAGGCTGGGCTTGGTGGCTCAAGCCTGTCCCAGCATTTTGGGTGGCTGAGGCGAGAGTATTGCCTGAGCTTAGGGGTTGGAGACCAGCCTGGGCCACTTGGAGAGACCTTGTCTCTACAATAAATTAAAAAATAAGCTGGGCATGGTAGTGCACGCCTGTAGTTGCAGCTACTTGGAAGACTGAGGCAGAAGGATTGCCTGAGCCCAGCAGGTTGAGGCTGTGGTGGCCATGAGTGTGCCACTGTACTCCAGCCTGGGCGACAGAGTGAGACTCTGACTCAAAAAAAAAAAAAAAAATCATTTCTTTTTTAAATTTTTCTCTCGTAAGATTTACCAAGTGTCTGTAAAAGTTTAACATAGATGAAAACTATGTTGGAAGACATTTCAGAAAGGAGGAAGGGATTGCATGAGAAGTCTTTAATTAAAAACACTAGAGAAAAATAGCTGGGTGGTATAGTTTGTTAAACTGAAACCCAGGAATTTTTTTTTTTAATTTTAAAGATGTGGGGTACAATTTAGGATTAGGAATACAAGTGGATATCATGTAGGTAAAAACCCAGGTTTTTCTGGCACCTACTTTGCTATCAAAGGTGAAGAGTTGATTTCATTAAAAGGAGTCATCAGATGAATATTTTACGATTTCAGAAACATCTGAGTAAAGAAATGCTTCTCTTTTTTAACTTTTTATTTTGAAATAATCCCAAAAAAGTGAGAGATTGGAAAAATAGTACAGAGAACTTTTATATAGTTTTTACATAGAAAGACCAATTTTTAGCATTTTGCCACTTCTGCTTTATCGCTTTCTCCATGTATGTAAATTTATATATCTATGCACGTACTATTTTTTTAGAACCATTGGAGATCAGTTGCATTCATCATACCCTTTATCCCTTAATACGTCAGGATACATTTCCTAGGCAAAAAATGACTCTTGTGCAACTCCAGTGCTGTTATTGATTTCAGGAGATTTAGCATTGACACAGTACTTTAATCTACAGTACATGTTGTGGCAGTCATTCCAATATTTCTTGCTGGTGTTTTCTTCTCTCTAGTCCGGTGATCTAGTGCAGGGTCCCATACCACCTGTGGTCGCCATGTCTCTGTTCTGTTTTCTGTACTCCAGCCTTTCCTTGTCTTCTCAGCCTTTCCTTGTCTTTCATGACAGCGACCTTGCTGAAGAACCCAGGCTTTTCACTCAATAGACTCTTCCTCCTCTTGGGTTTGATTGCTGTTTCCTCACAGTTAGAGTCGAGCTGTGCATCCCTGGCTGAAACACCCCATAAGCAATGAGTGTCCTTTGGGGTATTGCAAGGAGCCAAATTGTTTAAGACCTCGAGGGTGTTTGGAATGTGAGATGCAATGCAGTGTTGTCAGAGAGTCTTAAAAACTAAAGCATTTGTTTGTTTATTTTTGAGTCGGAGACTCACTCTGCCGCCCAGGCTGGAGTGCAGTGGCACACTCATGGCCACTGCAGCCTCGACCTGTTGGGCTCAGGCAATCCTTCTGCTGCAGCCTTCCAGGTAGCTGGAAATACAGGCATGCACCACCACGTCTGGCTAGTTTTTTTATTTACTGGAGAGATAAGGTCTTGCCAAGTTGCTCAGGATGGTCTCAAACCGTGGCTCAGACAATCCTCTCATCTCTCCCTCCCAAAGTACTGGGATTATAGATATGAGCCACCACACCTGGCCCGTTTTTTAAGCACTAAGTACTAATTCAGGGTCAGGAAAAAACAATAACTCTTAGGAAACAAAGTGGTAACTTTTTTTTTTGAGTTGGATTCTCACTCTGTGACCAGACTGGAGGCAGTGACACGCTCCCGGCCACTGCAGCCTCGACCTGCTGGGCTCTGTCGATCCTTCTGCCTTAGTCTTCAAGTAGCTGGAACTACAGGCGTGCGCTACCATGCCCGGCTAATTTTTTAGATTTATTGTAGAGATGAGGTCTCACCAAGTTGTCCAGGTGGGTCTCGAACCCGCGGGCTCAGGCAATCTACTCATCTCAGCCTCCCAAAGCGCTGGGATTACAGGCTGAGCCACCGAGCCCAGCTTCTTTTTTTTTTATTTAAAGTTTTATTATAAAGTTGTGGGGTACAATTCAGGGTTAGATATACAAACATTGATCATGCAGATACCCTCAGGTTGAAAATTTCTATTTGGAAGTGTTGAATTATCAGACAGTTTATAAACTAACTGGGCACCACTGTCTGCGTTCAGCCTTTCCTTGTTCTCAGGAACTCGTCCTAGTTTTCTCCTACTTTCAATTTTCTGCCTAGATTTCTTTCTTTTTTTTTTTTTTTTTGAGTGGGAGTCTCACTCTGTCGCCCAGACTGGAGTGCAGTGGCTGCTCCCTGTCATTGCAAGCTCGACCAGCTAGGCTCCGGCGATCCTTCCGCCTCAACCTTCCCAGTAGCTGGAACTATAGGCGCATGTCACCACGCCTGGCTAGTTTTTGTGATTTGTTGTAGTCTCACCAAGTTGTCCAGGCTAGTCTCAAACCGGGGGGCTCAGGCAATCCTCTCACCTCAGCCTCCCAAAGTGCCGGGATTACAGACTGAGTCACCACGCCTGGTCAACACTTAGTTTTAAATGTTTAGACATCTGAGAACATAAGCGGACCTCTCTAGGTACTTTAGGGTTTTTTAGTGATGTAGACCTAGGATGTGTGATAGTTAAGAACACTGTAGATAGTAGGTGCTACAGAATGTTTCTGATGTTCAGCTTTTTGTATTTTGAGAAGTAGTGTTGTTATTACCATGTTCTACTTCTGTCATGCCTTAATTGGAGGCAGGTAACTATAGTCATTGTGTTCACATTGTGACATGCATTTTTTTTTATCATTTGAAAGTCTTTCAGTATAGAATATACATACTTATGGTCATAATATTGTGTTTTTAGTATTTCAACAGGAACTTGATGCAAGACATGACAAATATGAGAGACTTGTGAAACTTAGTCGGGATATAACTGTTGAAAGTAAAAGGACAATTTTTCTTCTCCATAGGATTACGAGGTGAGTAAACATCTTTCAAATATGTTACAGTTTGATGCAATTTATATTTTTATGCTTGGCGGGCTCAGTGGCTCAGCCTATAATCCCGCGCTTTGGGAGGCTAAGGTGAGTGAATTGCCTGAGCCCGCGGGTTCAAGACCCGCCTGGGCAACTTGGTGAGACCGCATCTCTACAATAAATTAAAACTAGCTGGGCTTGGTGGCGTGAGTCTATACTTCCAACTACTTGCAAGGCTGAAGTGGAAGGATCGCCGGAGCAAAGCAGGTCGAGGCTGCGGTGGCCGGGAGCGGCCAGTACACTCCAGTCTGGGCGACAGAGTGAGACTCCAACTCAAAAAAAAAAAAAAAAAAAATTTGTATTTTTATGCTTTATAATGGTTAGTAATTAGTTGTTAGAGTATTCTGACACCTTGAACATTGGAATTAGAAGACATTTGCCGCAGGTACAATTTAAGAATAAATAATTTATAAATATAGGAGGGAAAATTCCTATTTTCAGAGCAATGAAGTATTCTGTAGTCTGTTAAAATCATTAATATACAGATATTGTTTGTGAAAATATATTAAATTTTTGGCCAGGTTCTGTGACTCAGCCTGTCATCCCAGCACTTTGGGAGGCCGATGTGAGTGGATTGCCTGAGCCTGCAGGTTCTAGACTAGCCCGGGAACTTGGCGAGACCTCGTCGCTACAAACAATAAAAAATTGGCTGGGCGAGGTAGCTCATACCTGTGGTCCTGGCTGCTGGGAAGGCTGAGGTGAAGGCTTGCTGGAGCCCAGCAGTTCATCACTCGATGCTGGGGTGGCTGTGAGCATGCCACCGCACTCCAGCCTGGGCGACAGAGTGAGGCTCCAACTCAAAAAAAAAAAAAAAAAAAAATTTTAAATTTTTGATTGCTGCTAGAACCTATTACATTAAAACTTTATTTGGCTGCTAGGTATGAAAATTTTAATATGAGATAAATGTTAACATTTGCTTAACTGTCGGGCGTGTTGGCCCAAGTCTATAGTTCCAGCACTTTGGGAGGCTGAGACGAGAGAATTGCCTGAGCGCAGGGGTTCAAAACCAGCCAGGGCAACTTGGTGAGACCTTGTCTCTACAGTAAATTAAAAAAGAAGCTGGGCATGCACCTGTAGTTCAGATGCAGGTAAAAGGCTGAGGTAAAAGGATTGCCTGAGCCCAGCAGATCCAGTCTGCAGTGGCCATGAGCGTGCCACTGTATGCCAGCCTGGGTAACGGAGTGATACGCCGACTTAAAAAAAAATGTAATACTAGATAAATGTTAAAATTTGCTTAACTGCCAGATGTGGTGGCTTACGTCTTTAATCCTAGCACTTTGGGAAGCAGATACTAGAGGATTGCCTGAGTCCAGGGTTTGAGACCAGTCTGGGCAACATGGCGAGACCCCATCTCTACAGTAAATAAAAAAATTACCTGGGCGTGGTGGCATGCGCTTGTGGTTCCATCTACTTGGAAGGTTTGGGCATAAGGATTGCCTGAGCTTAGCAGATCAAGCTGTAGTGGTTATGAGTGTGCCACTGCATTCTAGCCTGGACAGCAGAGTGAGACTCCAACTCAAAAAAAATAAAATAATCTGCTCCACTTATTTTCTTATTCATTTTGAACTCATTGCTGTCTGGCTTTTTGCATCACAGTTATTGAAATACCCTTGTTCCTTTCAAATTTTTAAATCTAGTGCATACATTTCTTATTTTATATTTTTATAGCATATGATACCATTGACTACTTAATTCTTTGAAGATTTCTCTGTGACATGATTTTCTTTGGTTTTCTTTCTCCAGGACAATCTTAGTATTTTAGGCAAGTTCTGTATATTTGATAGATTTTTTGATTTCAAGTGAAGGAAACCAGCTAAGACTGACCTGAAGTACAGCAGGGAAGTTAATGATAAGGGCTCTAAATACTCAGCTTTATCTTACGAGCAGCTGGGTGCCTCCATCTTTCATCTTTGCTTTATTTTATTGTATTTTGTTTTATTTTTGAGTTGGAGTCTCACTCTGTCACCCAAACTGGAGTGCAGTGGCACGCTCCCGGCCCCCTCAGCCTCACTCTGCTGGGCTCCGGAGATCCTTCGCCTCAGCTTTCCAAGTAGCCGGAACTATAGGCGTGCGCTACCTCGCCCGGCTGATTTTTTGATTTTTTATTGTAGAGATGAAGTTTCGCCAAGTTGCCTGGGCTGGTCTCGTACCCATGGGCTCAGGCAATCCACTCGCCTCGGCCTCCCACAGTGCTGGGATTACAGGCTGAGCCACCGAGCCCGGCCTCTTTGCTTTATATTTCATTTGACCAGTTTCCTTTACCTGTTTTACTTGAAACAGAGGAGGTGAAAAATGTCTACCCTCCAACTCCCCAGCTTATGTGTTGCAGTTCTAGCTCTTAAAGTTTCTTGTTATAAATTTTAGGTGCTTCTACAGAGTAGCTATGATTGGCTTTATACTATATATCTTAGAAAGTTGCCCGGCACGGTGGCTTGGTTTTGTAATCCCAGCACTTTGGGAAGCCAAGGCGAGAGCATTGCCTGAGCTCAGGGGTTTGAGACCAGCCTGGGCAACCTGCAAGACCTCGTCTCTACAATAAATCACAAAATTAGCCGGGCATGGTAGTGAGTATCTGTAGTTCCAGCTACTTGGAAGGCTGAGGCGGAAGGATTGTCTGAGCCCAGCAGATTGAGCGTGTGGTGACTGTGAGCTTGCCACTGCACTCCAGCCTGGGCCACAGAGTGAAACTCCTGGAACTCAAAAAAAACCCAAAAAAGGTATTTAGGGAGGACCAAATAAAATTTATTGCTTTTTTATTATTAAAAATATAATGGAAGGCCGGGCTCGGTGGCTCAACCTGTAATCCCAGCACTTTGGGAGGTCGAGGTGAGTGGATTACTTAAGCCCGCGGGTTTGAGACCTGCCTGGGCAACTTGACAAGACCTCATCTCTACAATAAATCAAAAAATCAGCTGGGCGTGGTAGTGCGTGCCTATAGTTCCAGCTACTTGGAAGGCTGAGGCGGAAGGATCGCTGGAGCCTAGCAGGTCGAGGC